CTGAGGTTTAGTGGTTTGGTTCTCTTTCAAGCTTTTCAGCCCAGTTTGGGTGCCAGATTGGTGTTTTCAGCTTTTGTTACAGTGTCTGTTCTCTTGGTTCTCGGTTGATCGCGGGTTGCAAAGGTTCCTATGTGTTTTGTTGACAGTTCCTATCTTGATTTGGTTTTAAGGCTTCTTCCCTGACCTTTGTTTTGGGTTTTTCAAGGTTGTTTCCAGCCTCCAAGTCATGCGAGCTAGTTCTTTCCAGCACATTGTATCTCCTTCTGTTCTTTTTTTTTTTCTTGTTCCTTTTCACTCCCTTGTGGAGTTTGTATCTCTTGAGCATTAGTCTTCTCGAATCAATGAAAAAAAATCGGTTTCTTGTTTTTTTGTTTTTTTAAAAAAAGTTATGCTCTCTTGCTGTTAATTCAACAATGAAAAGAAATATACGTGTGCAGGGGAATACATCAAAGAAAGAAAAAAAATTTAAATATCCCACTCAAGCATTAATAATGTAGTTTTTAATTCAGGTTACCAAAACAACACAGATCATGGAACAAGCAAAGAGCAGAAACATATATAACCTCTCTCTAAAGCCCTCAGGGATTAAATTAGGAAACAAGGTATTGTTCACAAGGCTTACCGATACAACATAGACTGCACCACAAGCAAGGAGGAGATAACTTGCAGCATCTTGGAGAAGAATAAGCTCTCTCTTCTCTACAGAATACACAGGGAAAGCTTTTGTCATTACTGCAACACTGCACAAAGACAATTGCAACTTAAAACAAATTGAATGCTCACAATATGGGGAATCCATGAATTTCATGTATCTCATCTCATGTGGAATCTAATCTTCTTGATCAATGTGAAAGTTTTTTATAGTTATAATCACGGTAGGTATATATCTCTACTGCATGGAAAAATCTCCTATTCTAATAAATTTAAACTAGTCCCAGTCTAACATCCTAAGGAAAGTTCATAGGATCATTGAATTAACAAGAAGGCATCCAACCAACACCAGATGTTGCATATTTCATTGCATGTTTCTCCAAAAAACCAACAATTCAGTTGCAAAATTGACTGGGTGCATGAGCTTATTGATAAGCAAGATTTTCACATAGAGGCACATGGCATGTAGGAACAAGTCAGAAAGTAAAAAGGAAAAGGTTGCAAATACTCCTAAAAATAAAGCTTACAAGATTTGCAACATGCCCCGCCAGCCCAATATTCCAATACCTGCAATGCACAGACCCAACTGAATTAAATGATGCCGTAGGCAAATCCTCAAAAGGGAAAAAACTTAAGAAACCTTAGGAAGGAATAAGGCATAAAATGCATCTTTGAGCTTCAAGGAATATTGTGGCAACCTATGATACTTCCAAGGCCTTTTTCGTGACATCCCAGAAAATTTAGACAGGTAATAGTCTGCTACGAATGAATATATAGTTCCACTTGGGTGCATTCTCCAATAGTGACATCCCAGAGAATGAAAGGGAGGTAAAAAATTTCTACAATATAGGCAACAAATAAATAAATCATTTAAGTTTTAATATTTATATTAACTAAAACAGCCCAAGCCCACGGCTGCTGGGGCTTTTCCTCTTGGGTTTCCCCTCAAAGTTTTTAAAACACGTCTACTAGGGAGAGGTTTCCACACCTTCCTCCACAACTAATGTGGGATCTCATAATCCACTCCCCTACAGGGCCCAACATCCTCGCTGGCACTTGTTCCCTTCTCCAATCGATGTGCGACCCCCCAATCCACCCCCGTTGGGGCCAGCGTCCTTGCTAGCATACTGGCTCGTGTCAACCCCCCTTCGGGACTCAGCCTCCTCGCTAGCACATCGCCCAGTGTCTAGCTCTGATATCATTTGTAACAGCTCAAGCCCACCGCTAGTAGATATTGTCCTCTTTAGGCTTTTCCTTTCAGGCTTCCCCTCCCAGTTTCATTTGCTAGGAAGAGGTTTCCACACCATTATAAAGAATGTTTCATTTTCCTCCCCAACTGATGTGGGATCTCACAATAACCATACGCAACAAATGAGAAAGAGGCAATGTCCACATAGTTAAATGATTAGTCGAATAAAATGAGATTAATTTTCAACAAGGCAAGGTATACAACATCAAGAGATAATCCTAGAACCCATCCATTTCTATTAAAATCAAAGCAGACTGTAATTCTTAGCTTCAACGATCAAATTACTAGGAGCTATTTTGAATAATCATATTCCAAGACAAGCTACTATGGCTGGCTTTCGCGCTCCAACTTTTGTACCCAGACCACACCACTAAAACAGCCATACATTTATTGTACCTAAAAGCCGCAAAAGGAAATAGATGAAAGATTCAAAGATTGAAGTGGGAAACAAATAGAGCGAAAACCAAAATCACTTCAGAAATTGAGAAGTTAGGGTTCAGACGCAAAAAACCTGCCAGTTCTTAAGAATAAACTCCCATTCCGTCTCAGTAATAACCACGAAGAATGAGATCACAACTGCATAACAACGAAATATACCATCGGATATCTGCCAAAATTTCAAACAACCGCGTGATACAGCATTAGATTCAAAAAAATACCGAACAAAGACGCAACAGAAACAGAGAGATTACATCGGAGTTGTTCTTAAAGGATCGAATCGCAGAGATGACATTGGAAACAATGCAGAGAATAGCAGTGAGAGTTGTTACAATACTGAAAAACCTGCAAGTTACGAGCAACGGATCCACCCTCCTACCAGGTCTGTTGGCCTGAGAAGACGACGCAGCCGCTGCCGCTGCCGCCGCTCCCTCTCCTTCTCTGTCCATTTTCTCAGGTTTCCTCAACTCCAAGAAATTTTCCTGAATCTATCTCCCACTCGTATGAAATTCTTTCTCGTGATTCAGCTTACTGGTTTCGTTTGATGAATCAATCGATGAACATTTTCAGTTATGTGGGTTCATAGTTCATCGATTGGCACTATGGCGGGAGTTGTTTCAGTTCACGAAAGTTTCGCATCTATTTCGCCACGTGTCACGAATATCAATTCTTTTATTGACTTTTTAAAAATTAATTAAATTAAATTGCACTCGAAAATTGTATTTAAATGTTATTTAATACGGTTTAATTTTTGCTACCCAGCGTTTAGGTTAAATTAATAATAAAAAAAATGCCCCTCATATAATTTATTTAAAAAAATTTTAAATTTTCAATAATTTCTTTAAAATTTTTTAAAATTTATGGATATTATTTAACTCGGGTATGTTTTAAATATTTTTAAAAATTTGAATTTTTTTTTAAAAATAAAGTATTCAAAAGTATAAGAATATATTTTTAAATATTTTTAAAATTGAAGAATATTTTTAAGTCTTTGTCCAATACTAATAGTAAATGTATATTTTATTTATTAATATTATTATTTTTTTAAAGTTTAAGAATATTATTGAAATTTGAATGTTTCCTGTATAAAATATTTATTGATGCAAGAATCTAATGCAGATGCTCGTTAACGTGGACGTTAGAGTGTTGAGGTCAGTCATCTCCATGATCTGGCTAATGATGACCAATGTTACGTTGATGTTGCTGTGCTTAACACTCTCTGATACTAAATTTCGTGCTTAATCGAAAAGGTATCGAGTTAAGGCTCTCCACCTTTAATTGGTAGGTTCGTACTTAATACTGCAATAGATATTCCACCAACTATATAAACAAGACTCGGCTCGACTAGAGTCAGGATCAGACATTAGTTGATCCAAACTTTTTATTTTTTATTATATTAATATGTCATTTATTAAGTTATTGAATATTTACCTCCATCTTCGAAACCGTGTATCTACCTAGTTGACAATTGTGTTTCCGTGACATTCAATTGTGAAAATTAAAGTTTTGGAGTAGCCAGTCAATATGTTTGTATTATTGGTTTAGTTGTATTTAAGAGGTAGTTGGTAGACATCTAATGTGACTCTCGATGTTTCGACTAGAGAGAAATTTTGCATATTTTATAATATGGTTATTTAAATAATTTCTTTTAAAAATAAAATTCTGTTCTAAGAGTAATCGACCATGAACATCCCATTCTAATCTAAAAAGGTTCGAGTGTTTATATGACTCAATAACCGGGACCACCTAATCAAAACCATAAAGGTTGGATTGGGCTCGGTGTAATTTTTTAAAAACAAAAAAATTAATTCTGTTTGCAGTTGACATCTTTTTGGTCAACTAAAGTCAACTAATCCAATCAACCCGAAAATCGAGTTATAACTCAACCTTACCCTACTTTAAAATAAATAATATATATATATATATATATATATATATTTATTTATTTATTTATTGTTGGTAACATTAGGATGAATTTTAATTTTTATAATAATCTTAAAAATAGAATGGATTGGAACACTCTTTTATATAGTTGATTGGGTTGACCAGACATAAAAAAAAATGTCTACTTGCAAATCTGATCCAAAATTTGTAGCTTTCCAAAATTCAATCAAAAGCAAACCGAGAAAAAAAGAATACTCTAATCCAACTCTGATTTAGGTCGGATAATTCAAGTTGGTCGAGTTTTTGAGTCTACTTCGAATAAAAATCTGGTTTTGGATTAGATATAGTAATCAAACGAGCTGGTTTTGGATTAGATATAGTAATCAAACGAGCTGGTTTTGGATTAGATATAGTAATCAAACGAGCTGATTTTGGATTAGATACAGTAATCAAACGAGCTGGTTTTGGATTAGATATAGTAATCAAACGAGCTGGTTTTGGATTAGATACAGTAATCAAACGAGCTGGTTTTGGATTAGATATAGTAATCAAACGAGCTGGTTTTGGATTAGATATAGTAATCAAACGAGCTGGTTTTGGATTAGATACAGTAATCAAACGAGCTGGTTTTGGATTAGATATAGTAATCAAACGAGCTGGTTTAATCTCAACTATCCAATAGAAACTTTCTCAAATTATTTTGAAAAATTTGAAAGAAAAAAAATAAAAAAGTATATCACTAAGATTCATGACAAAAAAAATGGAGAGAACCAAATTAAAGCAAGAGGGAGAGCACTTTTTCAATCTTTACATGCTCCTACTCCGAATTAATTTCAATTTGTTCTATTTGGAGAGTCAAATCCCAACTCCAATGGCGCCATAAATGCCAAAATCTGAATCCTCTCTCAAGATCCAAACAACGTCCGCCATGGAAATCGCCTCCTCAACCAAGGATCCCAAATCCATCCGCTCCCGTCGACGCCGCAACACCTGCATCGGAGTCTCAATCGCCACCGTCCTCCTCCTCATAGTTCTAATCGTCATTTTAGCCTTCACAGTCTTCAAAGCCAAACGCCCAATCACCGCCATCAACTCCGTAGCCCTAGCCGACCTTGATTTGTCGCTCAACATAGCTAGATCCGCCGTCGGCCTCAACATCACACTAATCGTCGACGTCTCAATCACAAACCCTAACAAGGTCGGATTCAGCTATTCCAACAGCACCGCACTGCTCAATTACAGAGGCGAACTTATCGGCGAGGCGCCGATTCCGTCTGGCCGTATCAATGCGAACCAGAGCAAGCGGATGAACATCACGGTCACGATCATGGCGGATCGGCTTCTGAGGTCGTCGACGGTGTTGTCCGACGTCGTCGCCGGATCTATACCGTTGAATACGTACACGAGAATTTCAGGTAAGGTGAGGATTTTAGGGATTTTCAAAATTCGAGTTGTTTCGAGTACGTCCTGTGATTTCACGATCGACATATCGGATAGGAAAATTGGAGATCAGCAGTGTAGTTATCATACAAAGATCTAATTGCTTAAGCGCTTTTAAATCGTAAATTATGAACAGATTTGTAGGTGGATTTAGAGCTGTTCTTTCACTGTTCTAACTGGTTTATTTGATTTTGTTACTATTTTTGAAGCGTTCTTTTTTAAATCGTAAATTATGAACAGATTTGTAGGTGGATTTAGAGCTGTTCTTCCACTGTTCTAATTGGTTTATTTGATTTTGTTACTATTTTTGAAGCGTTCTTCCCTCTTTGAATTGTTTGTTCTTTCATTGTTCATCAGTTCATCAGTTTTAGTGGGATACTTGTAAGGATTCGAATAAGATAATCTTAAATTTAAAATTTTATGGATTAATTTTATAATTTAATAATTTTACATTAAAGGTGTGGGAGGGAAGGTTGAAGATGGTTGATTGTTGAATTCTAAATTTTTTTTTTTTTTTTAAAAGTGTCGTGGGTCCCACGTCATTCGTGTTCGATTATCCTTAGTCTCAATTTTATTATGTCGATTTGAATTCCATTGATTTTATGCTTTTGTTATGTATTGACATATATTTTGTACGTGTAATCTAAAAATTATAGGTCGATATTACATCTAAAAACTATAAATTGATATTACATCTAAAAACTATAAATTGATATTACATCTAAAAACTATAGGTCGATATTACATTTGTACTCAAACACGTAATGTTTTGAAAAAAAAAATCATTTGTACTCGAACACGTTCTTCCTACAAGAAACATGTTCATTAAGGGAGCTGGACAAAGGATATATGGGATATGTTTTCCTATCAAACAAAAAACAGACTGAGGATATGTCTCCCTCCTAAACAAAAAAAGAAAAAGGAAGAATACATAGAAGTTGAGGCTCACCGAGAAACATCAGGTTGAAGCCATGATTGAGGTCGAAGTTGGGGTTTGTCAAGAAACATCAGGTCGAAGCCGGGGCTCACCAAGAGACATCAGGTCGAAGCCATGATTGAGGTCGAAGTTGGGATTTGCCAAGAAACATTAGGTCGAAGCGATGACTGAGGTCGAAGTCGGGGCTCACTAAGAGACATCAGGTTGAAGTGATGATTTAGAATTAGCAACAATCTTCGGTTCCATTCAAAAGACAATTCTAGGAAGTCAAAGGAGTTGACTAGGGCGGGCTCACTATTCACAACCCTAACTTTTCAATCAATTCAATACAACAGTTATCGAAAACAAGGTGAATCGAAGCCCTCAGTTAAGCCACAAAAATCATTTGACAAATGATGGAAAATTCAAGCACGAGAGGCGCTTTCACAAGTTATTACAATCTTTTTAGTGGAGTAGAGAAACATAATAGAAAAGTCAAAGATACATAAATGAAGTCATTCATTGTTACGAGCACCATTAGTCTTTGTGTGTTGATATCCATTATTGTCACCTTTATTTCAAGTCCAAATCATCATCTATAGAGTCCATGTTATGATTATTACACATAAAACAGAAAACACGTGACTTGGGCTGTGCCCAATTCCTCACCTTGGCCTCGACATGCGGTCGAAGCTGAGGCTCTCTAAGGGGGCGTTCATCTAGCACGTTGTGCTCATGTCATCTTCAATTATCTCAATTAACTATTTTACAAATTCAAATAAAAGAGGGAATGAGGAGAGTCTAGGTCAAATATAATGATTAAGCTCGAGAAATAAAGAAAGGGTCTAAACTCAAAAGAAACAAAGAAGTGGCAAACAATATTTGCTAGCGGTGAGGTTGAGCTGTTACAAATGGTACCAGAGTAAGTTAACGAACGGTGTGAGACACTGGTCGGAGTAAGGTTAAACCTTCACCATAGTAGACACATTTTAAAATCGTGAGGTTTATGTCGATACGTAATGAGCAAAAGCGGACAATATCTACTAACAATGAGGTTGAGCTGTTGCAAATAGTATAAGAGCTAGACACTGAACGGTGTGCTATTGAGGACATTGAGCTCCCAAGGGAGGTGGATTGTGAGATCCCACATCGGTTGGAGAGAAGAACAAAACATTCTTTATGAGGGTATGGAAACATTTCTGTCGGCGATACATAACAGGCCAAAATGAACAATATGTGCTAATGATGGGCTGAGAGCAACCCGCCTCATAAGGGTCCTTGACACATACTACGGACATTTAAAAAAAAAAAAATAGAAACTTATTCTTTTTTATCTCTTATTTTTAAAAGAAGAAACAATGAAAAAAAATTCTAATTCTTACCTTTTCTCAATATTATTACGATTACACTAACAGTCGATTGTTTAAAATTTTTGTTTAAAATGGTAAGATGTTTAAGAATAAGATGCTTCGAAATAAGATATTTAAGAATAAAAAGGCGTGAAAATCGTAATTAAAAATTCATATAAATAAATAATATTCATAGATGAAAATCGTAATTAAAAATTCATATAAATAAATAATATTCATATTTAGTTATATCACTATTAATTATTTTATTTTTATTAAATAATCTTTAACAATTAAATTTTAATTTGTCAATAAGTTTACTAGAAATATATGTCTTTAAATTTTAGATTTTTTTAATATATTTAGTTATCGATATTAATAATTATGATTTTAATAAAATTATATAATTTTTTATTACAAATAATTAGTATAATAATAAAAAAAATTAATTAACCAATATAATAAATTATTTAAAATCATATAATTATGATAAATTATTGATAAATAGTAAAAAGAAATTTATATAGCAAGAATAAAATAATTACAATATAACATTTCACCAACTTTAATTAATTATAATTCATTATTATTAATTATAAATTTAATTTGAATCAATTAATTATATTTTAAAAATTAATTTCAGTTAACTAATACTAGTTAGCTAATTAATTAACTTAAATATTGTTAGTTAACTAATTGGCAATTTTAGTAAATAAGTAATTTCGAAAAATTGATTAAATATAAGATTTATTCTAATTAAATGTTAATTATATTAATCATATTAAACCAATATCAATTATTTAAATAATTAAGTATATTCAAATTAAAAGTGTAAATAAAAATGAGTATAAACGTTGCTTGTGAATACATTATTCTCGTGGGCATCTCCCTTTGAAAATAAATAACGTCCAAAAAAAAAAATTCTAATTCCTTCTTCTATCAAACTTGGGCTACGTGTTCTATTTACGCGAATGAAAATTAAATTAAAAGTTAATTGATTAAATTTATTTTAATAATTTTATTTAATAAAAATAAACTAATTAATAATAATTAATTATCTAAAATTAATTAATATAATAAAATTATTGAAATTACATTGGGGAGTATTTATTATATTTCTAATTTATTCTCATATATCTTAATTAAAACCTTTGTTTAGTATTAAAAAAATAATAGTTTATTTTGTTCTTGCGTAAAGCTGAGTCAAATATCTAAAATTAAATATTATTTTAGTCTTTATTTTTCGAAATTGATTCGAGAAAATGAAATTTCAATAAATTTAAAATAAGTTTATTATTATTTTTAAAAAAATTCTACCAACTTTATAAATTTTGTCCACTTATTTAAATGGTATTTTTAAAAAATAATTATTGTTATTTAACCCAATTTTAAGAGGTTTAAATTAATAAAAATAGTTAAAACTGTTAAAAGTTTGAATAATATATTTAAAGCTTTAAAAAAAAATCTAAAAAATACTTTTAAAATTAAAAAAAAATCAATAATACCCTTCATTTTAGATAAAAAAAAATACCTTTAAACTTTAAACCGTATTTAAAAAATTATTTAAAAAACATTTTGCATTTTAAAAAAAAAAGTTTTATTAATATTCTTAAATATTTTTTAAAATAATTTTAATTTTTTTTTTAAAAAATATAAAAATAAAATACTATGAATTTTCAAGAGTAATATTAAAAAAAATTCGAAGGAATCTTTTTATTTTTTATTTTTATAAAGGCCGTGTAGCTTATAAGTATTTTTTTAAATATAGTAGGGAGAGTATTTTTTAATTTTATTTAAAAATTGAAGAATATGGATAATTTTTTTAAAAGTTTTAAGAATATTTGTAAAATAAAATATTAACGGAATAAAGTTTAAAAGTATTTTAGCAAAATTTAATGAAGAAAAAAAAATCATAAAATGATATTTTGATTACACTTTTAATGGAGATCGCAATTAAAAATAATTAAAAATAATTAAAAATAATTAAAGATTTCCCTCCATAACGAAATTCGTTGTTTCAGAGCTAAAATTCATTTTCCAAAGCTCATGCAAATCTTCGCCTGTGTCAGAGGAATGTCGAATCTTGCCGTCGTTTTCGTTCTACGGACCGAGCGCTGTTGTTATTCGGTGAAAGATTCGACTTCAACGTCCAGCAATGGGGAAGTGTGGAGCGCTATATTTGGAGCGCGGTTGGTTTACTTGCAGTGCAAATCGCCATTGACAGAGCTGTTTCCGAGTTCTTGATCCACTTCCAGTTGAATTTGACTTTCCTTTATGCAGATTAGCATCTGTTCCTAATTCAGAGCTCGAAAGGTTATCTTCTTCGGTTTTTTTGGTTTTGAGTGTTTTATCCTGATTAGTGTCGTTAGCTGATGGTAATTTGTTGTGGCTTCTGTGGTGGTGTTTTGTTGTAATTATTATTGTTTTCTCTATCGGTTTGATGAATCTCTATCGTCGGTATTCATAGCGTGAATGTTTACAAGAAATTTGTGTCGCTGTTAGCATTTCTTTTTCAGCATCCTATATCTGAATTTAGTTTCAACTTGTGTTGTTTTGTTTTGCTAAACAATGATTTTTGTTCGTGATGCTACTTTCCAACTGGTTTTACCGTTCAAATTCCTCTTGTTTTACGTCTGGTTTTTAATAATTCCTTTAATTGTTTGGAGGCTGTTGTTTATGCTTAAAGTTGTAGTTTAAAGTGCGTCTTGTGATCAGGAAAACTGAGAAACAAATTATCCGAACTTTACTTTTTGATTTAGCTTGGGTTTGAGTTTTCGCAGTGAGATTTGTTCCTGATTTGAATTTCGGGTTGGAAGGGAACCCGTAGTTCCATCTAAGAACAGCTTCAGATTTTGAATTTTGTTTGATGTAATTGCGGTGGATTTCATCTTCTTGAGACTGAAAATCAGAAAATTGGGTGACAAACTGATCAGTTTGACTAGGAAAATATGGAGAGATTCCTGTCAGCCATCGTCTCAGAAGCTCAGGCGGGAGGGCAGTCACTGCTCGTTAATATAAAGATTGCAGTGTTACCCATAGCCAAAGTTTTCACCATGTGCTTTCTGGGTTTTATTTTGGCATCTAAATATGTCAACGTCTTGCCTGCGAGTGGAAGGAGACTTTTGAATAGGGTATGCCACTTAACTCCATCTAATTTGTACACTCGAACAAACTCAGTAATGTTTTCCAGATACTCAGCTTCTGATATGAAATTTTGAACAGACCATTTGGTTTTGATGATTAGTATTATAGGCCCCCCAATGCACTCAATGTTAGGAATCACGGATTTCCACAATGGTATGATATTGTTCACTTTAAGCATAAGCTCTCATGGCTTTTGATTGGGTTTCCCCAAAAGGCCTCGTACCAATAGAGATGTATTCCTTACTTATAAATCCATGATCATTTCCTAAATTAGCCAACGTGGGACTCCCTCTCAACAATCCTCAACACTCGCGTGCACATTTTATTGCACCTCTTTAAGTGTTTAAATGGACTCCGAATGATTGTTTCTGCTTCTTGTGCTGCAGTTGGTCTTTTCGCTTTTGCTTCCATGTTTAATATTCTCTCAGCTTGGGCAAAGTATTACCATGGAGAAATTTTTTCAATGGTGGGAGCCAAATACACATCTTTACATTTTCCTGTTTTGATTTGAATCTTGTAAACTGATAGCATCTAATTTCATTTGTGGCCTTCTGTAGGTGGTTTATTCCTGCAAACATTGTGCTGACTGCCATATCAGGTTCACTAATTGGATTAATTGTTGCATCAATCGTTCGTCCTCCATACCCCTTCTTCAAGTTCACGATTGTACAAATTGGGATCGGTAAACCACTTGATCTTGCTATAGTAACTTTGAGTTTATGTATTTGTATGACATGAATTGTTTCCCTTTTCTATCACTTAGATGGCTGGTTATTTCAGATATCTGTTAGTGGTCATTAGTTTGTAACCAACTGCCAAAGGGCTGTCAGTTTGGAATTGGAAAACTAGAATAATGTTTGTCTGCTTCTGAATCGTGCATCAATTATGGTATCCGAGTGTGGACCTACTACTTGTGCACTGATTAAATGACACTGTGAGGTTTGTGCTGCATGAGACACAAATCAATCATGTTGGCCAGATATTTTGGTAGATGTTTTCAATCCACAGTTGCAGAAAAATAAGCTAGGAGTTGTTCAAATGACTGTAAGTTATCAAGAACTTAAACTTAATGGATCAAGGAACGAAACTGAGGATTCCAGAATTGCTAATTTGATAAAGGTAGTTCTAGTCCAATAGGGAATTTCCATGAATGAGCCTTATATGATAGATTCTAGCACAGACTATCCACCTGATAGATGTTCCTTACCTACCTAAAACCAAGTTGAGTTTATTTCTTAAGGGGGGAGGAAATATTATAAGTTTGAATGATATACTGCGTGTGAAAGTGTTTTATTTATTTTTTAATTCATGTATTTTTATTTTTTATAATCTGGTATTGGGGGCTCCACCCCACTAGTCTGGGGTACCCTCTTCTGCTCCAAGGCCTGGAATCAGCTTGATTTTGTAGGTCTTAGCTGACTTTGTTTGAAGTTTGTTAATATCCATTAGTTTGCAACTAACTGCCTGCCAAAGGAAGTATACTAGTATAAATCATGCCATTAATATAATAGAAAGAATCTGATTGAATTGGAACAGTGAATATAGAATCAGTTTTAAGTAGTAATATTCAATAAACACTTCCTGTTCTGTTGAATGAATTGAAATATCCTTTACCTCGTGTCTTAGTTCATCCTTCTTTTCTTTGTAAAAAAATGAATAACGGATCAAACAAACCATAGCCTTCCGGTACTTTATAATACCGTACTGTTCCTGTAGCTGACATATAGGCTGTGGAAATTGTTTACTTGAACCTCCTGGTTTGATTTTCTCATATGAATGTTCTATGTTTTCATCCTTGTAAACATTCTATGCTTTGATGTTGGTATGCAGGGAACATTGGGAATGTGCCTCTCGTTATTATTGCAGCCCTCTGTAGAGACGAATCCAACCCTTTTGGTGATTCAGAGAAGTGTAGTACTTATGGGATTGCTTATATTTCATTTGGCCAGTGGGTGGGTTTTTCAGCACTTTTGACCTAACTCATTGGGACCTGTGCATTTATCTAAGTTGGATATTGTTTTCTTTTGAAATTTATATCAAGTAGTCCATCCATGACTTAGCTTATCTTCATCCCTAAGTAACGATTTATATATATATATATATTTTGGCCACTATGGCTCAAAACGAACAATATACGTTTAATGAAAAAGAAAGAGAGTGGAATGAAGTATTTGATAGATAAGACCATTGTTCCAATTGGTTTTCACTATCAAATTCCTTATTTACTTAAACTCCCTTTGCAATTAGCTCAAGATGGGGTGCCTTTTGCAACTCCTTTCAGGAGATCTACACTGTTGTTAGTAACTTTTCAACTTATAAAGGCTCTGTTTTTTGGCCAAAAAAAGAACAAAAAACGATTGTTCCTAACTAACAAACTTAGTAAGTTTACTTAATGTAAATACTAAATAATACCCACACAATTATCTTTTAATGTTAAGGTTGGTGCAATTATCATCTATACCTATGTGTATGCAATGTTGACACCTCCCCCTGAGGGTACATTTGACATTAAAAATGAAAGTATTCCAGTTAAGAACCTGCAAAAGGATCATACACCTGTGCTTGTTCCCTTGCTTCTTCAGGAGATACCTTCTACATATTCAGATCCTTCTAAGAAGGAAGAGGTGAGAGACTTTATTTTGATTTGTTGTTAGTATTGCCTTATTCAATTAAATGGATTCATGGTGAGGTTCATTTTTATTAATCAACGTATAATAGGATGTTTTATATTTTTAGGAATTTAATACTTTAACTAATGTCAAAGTGACAATTTTTTTTATACTAGTATGACATTGAATTTGAATTGTGGAAGAAAGTGCTATCATCTTCAATTTTGAGCAGATTCTCTGTTCTTCGGTTATTCATTAGTTAATTTATGCTGCCTTAGTTATGGTTTTATGGAAACAAATCAACCCTTATTTATGAAAACTATTATGTTGTTAAATTGTCAGGAGTATTTTGGATCAGTTAAAATCATTATTTCTAAAATAATGGAGATTGAGATGACTATTTACTTTTTGGGTTTTGTTAGGTTAGGGTAAATGACTTCTTATCCATTCTAAAGTTACTTTAGAAATAAAATAAAATTTGAAGTTGCCTGTCATAACTTTCCTCTGTATGCAGACTAAAGGATTCCTTATGTATTGGTTTGAGAAATTGAAGCTCAAGCTATTTTTCCAGCCTCCTATCGTTGCTTCGGTTAGTATAGATCTATTATTTTAGTGAATTGTAGTCTATCACTAGGGGTTTTATGAAACATGCCATGATTAGTGAATACTAGATAAATTTCATTGGAGCATCATTTTCATCCTCTTTCGAAATTGTGAACTGAAATCATGTACTCCAGAAAAATGAATTCGGATATGCTCTCTTGTAAAGGGAAATTTTGTGAAGGGAAAAAGAGAATAAAGATAAACATGTGAAGATGATTTATGCTTTTGGTGTTTTTATTAAATTGATGAAGTTTCTGAGCTTCCAAATTCAGATATCTTTCCACATTCTTTTGTTACTGTTCTTGATTGATTATGCCATCTGTTGCAGGTTTTAGCCATGGTTATGGGTGTAATACCATTCTTAAGGCGGTTGATCTTTACTCCTGATGCTCCACTATTCTTCTTCACTGATAGCTGCAAAATTCTCGGGTAAACCTGGAAAATTCTGAACAGTAATGTTGCTGATTTTTATTATTCTTATTATTGATTTTTGCCGGTTTTCCTCGTCTTTACTAGGGCCTTATTATTTTGTATTATTCTTTTTTCTTTGCTCATCGATGAGCTCGCACTGAGGTTCTTTTCTTGGGGCGGTTTCTTTTAGTCTACTCATATTTCTATATTCCTAAATATTTGATCTTAAGGTTTTCCGTTTGGGTTTCTGTTCCCAAGTCAAGAGCTGAAATACCTAGAGTTTGTGATGATCATGTCCAAGATTCAAATTAACCATTAACACAGGGCTCCATGAATCTCTTTGGCTTTAGTTTCCTTACCCTTTCATTGAGGATGTCAATGTAGTTCCAAATCAGGTCAAAGTGGAGAAGGTTTTTGGTTTTCACAAGAAAAACCATGTGGGTTTACGAAGTGGATAATATCATGCCTTTGTGAAAAATCGAGAGGCCTATTGTTCTAATACCTCCTCCAGCCTCATCGCATTTCCTTCTTACGTTTTTATGGTGTGGTTTTAGTTACAAGCCCTTCCTTGGTGCTCTGAAATTAAATTTCTTGCAGTTATCGGGAAAAAAACGAAGTCTTCATGGTGACACTTGAAAAAAATATGTGGAGCAGCTTGTATCAGATTTCAAAATCTGGAAATATGAGATCCTTCTTTCTTTTGTTGGACTTGGGATCTGCATTTTGGTTTTGTGACTATTATAATAGGGACTATGAGTTCATTTCCTACTCTCCAGTATTTGCTTTGCTTTGGAAATTAAGGTGTGGTAACCATATCTTCTTCCAGGCAGAAAAGATTAGGAATTGTTGGGGGCTCTTTTGTTGAGGTTTTGAATATCTAAACAATGGTACAATGGATAGAAGAGTTCTGCTGTATTTGTGCCTCGTAGTTAGTATTTGTCATCTACGCCTTTGATGTATTTTTTTTTCCTTTTAATATCCTTCTGTTAGGCTACTAGTGTTGGCCTGTCAAGAGACTCTTGGGAGTTGCATGGGATAATAGTACTATTACCACCAATAGGAAACACTTTCATTGTTAGGGACTGGGTTACATGTTTGACATGCCGCTAGCTATTTAGGAGATGAGGCTAGATTGTTGTTTAATAAAAGGATCATTTGTGTGTATGCATGTCAAGTGTTAGGCCAATGGGAGATCCCAACATGTCTAGCTTTCTGTGACTTTCATGATGCATGGGTGAAGATTGGAACTTTGCTAATAGTTTATGCAATTTGGTTACCGCATCATATGTAGGTGATTATTGTGGCTTTTCCTTTTTTTATAAGGAGCCTACAAGAATAAATTGAAGGTTTTGACTGTCTAGAGCCTGATAAGAGATTGAAGTTTGATTCCTTGCAGGAACTAAAAATTTTTAGTTCAAATTTTTAGTTCCTAACGTTTCATCCACAAAAGTAAAAGTGCATTAGTGATAGAGCAGAGTTCATATCTGTTCCACCTTAAGACCTGTCTACAATCAGGTCGCTCTCCGTGTCTTCAATGTCATATGTAGATGTTGTACTTGAATAAGTTTTAGAACAACATTGAACTGTGTAACTAAATAGGAGAATATAAAGATCATTATACATGCTGTTAGATTAGAAAATTTCTAGTACTACCAGATTACCAGTCACCTTTTTAAAAGGATATTGACTTGAAACAATAAATTGAAGGATTGTCCATGAGAGTACCTGAAAAAATTTCTAAGTTAGATTCTATAAGCCTAAATTAATCAATTGTGCATACTTTTTTTTTTTTTTAGTAAGGTCAGCCTGTTTTTTAAAAGTCAAATTCTTTTTTGTTCTTCTAGCCTAGCTACCTCTTAACCCACATTACATACTTTCTAATGTGGCGGTGAAGAATGCAAGCAAAGAAGGAGCTCAAATATTGTTATATCCCATCCAAAGAAAAGAGGCGGACTGGTAAGAAGTCCCTAAGTAGCAAAAACCAGGTTTAGATGTAGGATTTTGATTACAAGCAATGAATGTTCCAATCCCAATCAACAACTGGGGGCAGCTCAAGAGGCACTGCCAGAGGCGCCAGCACTGGCGGAAGTTCTGCACCGTGATTTCCATCCCCTAAGGCACTTTTCAGGAAAATTCACATGTTAGTCACGCAGCAACTATGTTCAAAGTATAAAAGAGGAAGATTGGAGTTCGTAGGTCTTGCCCGTGTTTGGCACTGGGAGCCAAAGCTTGCTGGGTGAGACCAAAAGAAAGAAAGGACGGGCTCCAAAAGGATGGAAAACTAGAACGTGTGGAATCTTAATGCTTATATAACTACAAAATTGTCAATACCAATACAATCTAACCGTGTTTGTGATTGTCAGGGGGGCTATGATTCCATGCATCCTGTTGGCATTGGGAGGAAACCTTGTTGAAGGTTAGCCAGTCCAATGACGATAATTCTCAGTTATATTAATCGGTTACACGTTCCTACTTTGGTAGAGATCAACCACGAAATCTTTTGATTTCAAAACAGAATTCAATACCTGCAATTTGCTTGCAGGTCCTGGAAACTCGAAACTCGGGCTTCGGACTACCGTTGCCATTATTTTTGCAAGGTTGTTTTTGGTACCTCCTACTGGACTTGGCATTGTTATGTTGGCTGATAAGCTTGGTTTTCTTCCTCCTGATGATAAAATGTTCCGATTCGTTCTTCTTCTTCAGCATTCGATGCCAACATCTATCCTCTCGAGTAAGTTCCGATCTTGCTAAACAATCTGGATTCAGTCTTGCTAAACCAAGAAGGATAGTCAACGATGTTAAGTTTAACATGTCTGAATTCGTGAAACAAATTCTTTTGTGCAGGCACTGTGGCTACTTTGAGGGGTTGCGGGAGAGAATCGGCTGCTATTCTTTTCTGGGTTCATATATTTGCTATCATCTCAATGGCTGGATGGTTGGTCCTCTATCTCAGGATACTCTTCTAATGAAATTCATTGTATGATAGCTAAGAAAAAACGATATCATAGACTATAAAGAGCGTTTTTTGAATGTCCTATTAAAAGTCTGATACTTTTAATAGTGTTTTTATAATTAATACAGAGCGTTTTTTGAATGTCCTATTAAAAGTTGATACTTTTAATAGTATTTTTATAATTAATACTATAATAGAATGAAGATATAGATTACGATTGTTACTATGAAAACATGTTATAGTGGTTCTTATTAAAACTATTATATGTTTAGAATTAAAATAATATGTTATTAAAGCTATAATATGTTTAGAATTACAATAATAATAGCAAAATAATATGCTATTAAAGCTATAATATGTTTAGAATTAAAATAATATGCTATGGATAATATAGTATTGTGGTTTTAATCTTGTACTATAATAAAGTTATTTAACCATTATTATTTACAATAATTATATTTTAATAAAATTAACTTTTAAGTACTCGATTTAGCTCTAAGGGAAAGAATTAGGAGATTTTTTTTATCTCTCCAAGATTCTCTAATGTTGGACTGGGTACATGACATTTCCAACATCGATATCTGATATCTAGGAAGATATTTATATTCAAAATTTATCAAACACAATCAAAATTCATAGTCATTGAACGATCAAAACTCATACAAAATAGTTCAATCGATACTTATATTGACTTGACTAGACTACTTGACTGCAAGAAATAACTTGACAAAAAAATTGAGCTTTTCGGATTTTCCACCCAAAGGAGAACGCCAAATTCCAATTATGTAATCGATGATTCCTGCCATCAGACAAGCGACTAACTAACAAATCTTGATAAGTCTAAAAAGGTTATTCAAAGCAACTTACATAAAAATTGAACTGAAACTTCAAACTAAGAATTAGATGACCGAAATTTGATGAAAGCACGTCGATGAACACGAGTGATTTTTGGTTTTAAACTTGGGGATTAAAGCAAGAATTTGGTGATGCAACTAAGGGATGGATACAATTACTTTGTCGCAGCTAAGGACAGCTCTGTATTGTCTTGCCCAAAAACATAAAGCATGGTAGCAAATACAACAAATGATGTGTGCAATATAAAGAGAGAAATTTGTTATGATACTTCATAGCAATTTATCGGTCGCATCCGCATCAGTGAGCAAGATCCTTACTTGACAAACAATACGACACAATACATGCCTCCAAGCCCTTGCTCATTTACATCAATCGATGCATTTGAAATTTCAACTAAACTTATCACAATATAGGAAGATAGAAAAGCTAATGAGATTTATTTAGAATAGTCGGAGAGCTAGAAACATAATGACCATGGACTAAACCTCATTCAAAATGTATCATCTCTAGTCGAATTTGAAACTTGGTCGAATTGGATCCTTTCGATTTCTATACCGAATATATACCTTACGAAGTAGTTTTAACTTATTGATTGACACAAACCCTAGATCTCTGCCCTTGAAAAATGAATCAATACTTTCTACTCGAGCTCCATCGTGTACTATTTACATCAAAACCCTAAAAAAATTAGAGCTCTATTGGAACAGAACAAACGATTTCGAGTCAAGAGCATCTTCATTCCTATATAATATAAAATGGTGGGTATAAGAATCTACAGTAGATCATGTCCTTCAAGTCGCACGTTACTTCCTACCACATCGTTTTAAACGAAGTTTTACCATAACCTCTAATTTCGTGCCATTGATTCATTTATGGAATCATGTCATGAATCATGTATAGTCATTGGTTAAAAGGTATATGAAAATGCTAATCTAATGCTAAATCTTACGACATAACCCATTTCTTGGCTTATCAAAAAAGGAGTCAACTACATAGTTTGGATATAAGTGTTGACTACCCTATGTTCTTGTTCGGTTGATCTCAAGCTAAACGATGTTAGAAGTTTCAATCTAAATTCCTGTTTTATGTGAACTTCACATTCTAGTCATTGAATTATCTTCACACGATACTCGAAGTTCTCGTCCAAACTAAACCTTGTGCTTACGTTGAGTTACGTTGAGAATTGTTGAGCAGACAACAAGCTAACCTTAGTGTTGGTCTAAATCTAAATCACGACAAAGTTAACAAGCTTCTTAGAATAAACCAAAACATAGTAGTCTCAAGGACTTCAAACATCATGGAACAGAACATAAATGTAAAAATGGAAAACCAACTCTCATAAACAAAACAAACCAACGTCGAAACAGACAAAAGAACAGGACAGTACATGACTAAAATGGAAATAAACTCGTATAAACTTCAAGGTTTGGAAATTTGATTTTACCTTCTCCATCGGATATTGGCCGAAAACAATAGACTAAATGCTGAAGAAAACCACCTTCGTTCGCCGCTCCAAGGATACTCGAACGCTGCAGTATATTCATGTGGAGATAAACATTTGGATACCTAAATGCCCATTCATGTGAAGAACATTTTGATATAAACAATTGTGTATGAACTTCATATAAGCATTATCATTGAAGTAAAAGAAAGCTCGTGTTAATTTGATTTCTTGTACCATACGCTATTGCTAGACAATTCACCACCATCTCCTGCTTCTGTTCTCTCTTTGGTTCAATGCATCAGCAATGTGAGCATCAAGTTGCCTTCTGTCTGCAACTTGGCCTACGGGTACTCTTTGATCACACCGAGGGCTACCAAACCATAACATCAGGGCTATACCTGCAAGACCAACGATCGGAGCAGCCACGAACACCCAACTTCTTATACCGTCGTGTCTGCCTGAATTGTTACTGTTATTAACTGCAGAGTCTATGTTGTTCAGCTCCTCTCCTTGGCTGGTTCTAAACTCTAGATTTGCTCCAACTCCTTGGACCTCTGCTGTATTGATGCTACTTCGCTTTCCCTCTTCGTAATCTCGATCGTCGGTTGGAAGTTCATATCGACAAAGGGGACACGAATTCCGTGTACGCAACCACGGCATGATGCAGGAAGGGTGGTAGAGATGAAGGCAAGGTAGTTGATTCACTGCGACGCCCACGAGTAAGAAATCCTTACAAATTGCACAGGATATATTGTCATGTTTCAAATGTTCTTTAGAAATCACCAAAAGTGGGAGATTTTTCACTGAAGAGACAGCTGCAGGAGGTGCTCCGCGTCTTGAGCTGGTCGTCATGGCAATTTGCTCAAGAAGTTGCTCAAAGCCTTGTTGGTCAAGATATTCACCAAAATTCTCAACGAAAGATAGTAATTCTGACTGTGAATAGTTCATGTTCGAATAAAATCGCCCATTCCTCCTGATTCGCTCGAGTTCGTATTCTGGTGAAGAAAGTTGTTCATTCCAATTACCAGAGTTAACTCTCCCAGATGCACTAGAAACTTGAAAATCTTGAAGTGGAGGCCTAGCTTGAGAAGATTCTACTTCGAGTGCATCTTGCTCTGTGTCAGCTTCTGTTAATTCACCAAGATCCTCCTCCTCATCACTCGAGTCCCAATCGCCGACACCAGCACGCATAGGATCAATGTCTATATCGGTATCATTGAATCCATCTCCAGGAAAAACGAAAACATCTGTGTCCAAGGAACTTCGTCCATCCATGGAAGCGTCCGAGTCACCCCCATAAGTACCGTACGAAACAAAATCAATACCACCAGAAGAATGTCTGTAAGACCCAAAACTGAAATTTGATCCACTCTCTCGAAACATAGAGTCAATACTATCTAAACCATCATTTTCAGAATCAGAGTTTGCTCGACGCCATCTTCTAGATTGATTGGGGCTCATAAGCAAACTCGAGTCCTGCATAGCATAAGTAGCATTAGAACCATCTGCATACCGGTCCCCGTAGCTAGAGATACTCGACTGACTTTGCCTCACCAAGTTAATCATATGGGAGAATTCCTGCGAAAAACGACTTTCAGGAGACTCTGAACTACCATGCCTTGTTCTTCTTCCTCTGGGCATCGCCCTATTATAAGAATCCTGTTCAGGGAATTCCATATCTTCAAGTAACAAAAACTTACAATCGCCACATATACCAATGGCTTCAGGTTCACCACTGACATCGTTATCAAGTACTAGGAATCGTTCGCAACATGCACAAGTTGGCGATTGATTTAGACCATGTTCATCAACCAGTTCATTATTGTCCATCACATGAGCAGTGGATTGAAGAAACTCCTCCAAGATTCTTTGTAAGTCGATGTCCATCTGAGACGAGACCAGCAAGCAAAAATCACAAACAGTGGAAAACCAACATGAAGTTCAACAAGTAGTGAAATAAGAACCTAAAAGAGAAAACTGAATCATATTTAACTAAGTTGAAGTTCAGTCTGTTAGGAATCACGGACCTCCGGACCTCCACAATGGTATGATATTATCCACTTTGAGCATAAGCTCTCATGGTTTTTCTTTGGATTTCCCCAAAAGACCTCATACGAATGGAGATTTATTCTTTACTTATAAACCTATGATCATCCTCTAAATTAGTCAATGTGGGACTCCCTCCGAACAATCCTCAACACAATCAAATATGAAAAACAATGCCAGTTATACAGAGATGATCAAACGACTTGAGAGACCGACCACACTGAATTGTCATAGTTTTCTAGCCTTGTAGCCATGTATTCAAGCCCTTAACTAAGTTGTTTTATATTCGTACTATCTCAAACTTACTCTCATTCTCAATTGATACCGCTTCATTCACCATGAAACCTGTCACGAGCCACTCCTCGTCCGTGTTTCCTCTTGTACATTAACAACTACTCGTAACCCTCCACAACCCCTAGTTGAGAGGAGATTTAAAAGAGAGAAGAACAACACATAAGCAGAATTAGATATCTCCTTTACCACTTCATTCCTAACCTCACTTCACTTCTTTGTTTCAAACTAAACCATTTTCTTATCTCAATCCAAATGAACCGCCCTTTCCAACCTCCCTCCATTGCCCCACCAGGAGTTCAAACTCCTAGAACTTCAAAAGTAGAACCGAGGGAACAATATTCTCAAACGCGTCAAGGTCCTGTAGCAGCGAAGCCCACCACTAGCACATATTGTCCTCTTTAGGATTTCCCTTCTAGGCTTCCCCTTCTGGGCTTCCCCCCTCAAAGTTTTTAAAACGTGTCTGCTAGGGAGAGGTTTCCACACCCTTATGAAGAATGTTTCGTTCTCCTCCCCAACCAATGCGGGATCTCACACATCCATCCCCAATTTTGATGCTAAAACCCTCCAACAACACAAACTCCATCCCACTAACATATATTTGAAGGGTTCAAGAGTGGTTCCAGAAGTTCAATCAGCAAACAAGACAAAAAGGGAACTCATAATTTCGTCTAAACTAAGGGTTTTCAATTTCAACGCAATCGCAACAGAAGAAAACAGATCAATCACCCAATGATTAGCACAGAGCGCACAAAAATGACATTACATACAATTAGGGAAAACGAAAAACTGCATAATAAAACGAAACGGACGAAGATCAAAGTTCGCTTCCAGTGATTCAAACCTCCAACATTCGGCTCCAACTCATCCAATCGAAGACAACGATCTGAAAACTTGTGTAAGACGAAGAACATAAGGCAATCAACGAAAAGGGCTAAACGATTGAGAAACAAATAATTGAATATCGCTGTTCAGAAACATTCATTTTGAATCATGAAAACGTTATGATACTAAGATGAACAGAAATCGGCGAGAAAAAACGAAAACCAACGTGATTATCAGGCGGAGGAGGCCAATGGGGTTCTTAGAGAAAACGATTTGCGGGAGCGGCCGCCATTGTTGGATGGAAAACGAAGAACATTCAACGAATCAAAACGCGCTTAAAAGCGAGCGGCGTAATTGACCCATCAACATTGTTCTCAAAGAAAAAGGCTAAACAAAATTCGGATAGTGATGGATTGAATTCTGTATCTGGGTGTTCATGCTTTGATCGATTTGATTTCTTCGTCTGATAATTACAAAATAAAAAGTGTTTAAATGGGTCCGATTGATTCTCAGTCCGTCTTTTGGGCCACACTTAGCCTCATCACCCACACGTTTCAACCACTAACTGTTCATGACTAAAAATTTGAAATTATTTAGTTTTAATTATCTCAATTTTTAAAAATCTCCCTTTAACATTTTTAATTTATTAAAAAATTTAATCCTGAATTTTTTAATAAAAAAATCAAAATTTAAGAACGAAAAAATAAAAATAAGTTTAGGAGGCTATTAGACGCTTTACAAAAAAGTTTGGGATTAAATATGTAATTAAGTTTTATAAAAAAGAATTAATAGCGAGAAATTTATTGAGTGTGGTCAATTTAAACATAGTTTTGTTAACACGAATATTTTCAAACAAACTATTGAATTTACATTAGTCACCTTTCCCTAGTACGAGAGTACCGGGAAGGACGCATCTCTGGTGTACCAGTTATCGTGCCCATGGTAAACGGTGGGTAGCCAGGTACAGAGCGGATAACTACTGAAAGCATCTAAGTAGTAAGCTCACCCCAAGATGAGTGCTTTCCTATTCCGACTTCCCTAGAGCCTTCGATAGCACAGTCGAGACAGCAACGGGTTCTTTGCTCTTGTGGGGATGGAGCGACAGAAGTTTTAAGAATTCAAGAGAAGGTCACAGCGAAATGGGTCGTTTATCATCCGACTTAAGTATAGCTCAATAGTTAAACCGTAATGTATCAAGATGTTATGGGATAGTTTGGAAGTCCTAAATGGTGATAGTTTGGAGAAAATGCGTTTATTTTGAGGAAAATATATCGAGATAGGATAAATCACGACAGCTTTAAGTCGTGATCAAAAGGAGTTGAGCATACTAACCGTCAATGTACGTTAGTATAAAACATTATTGTTTTGAATGAACTCAAACCAACCACTTGTCAAAACGACATCGTTTTTAATCTATCATCAAAACTCAAGATAAAAATGACGTCGTTTTGATTAATCCCAAATTTTGTCCCGTTTGTCTCTTTTACCGATTGGCATTTCGTTGTTTTTCTCTTTGTTTTTCACGGTTTTGAACCCTAAATCAAGACACAAACACAGTCCTTGGTGGTTAAGAGTGGTAGACGATGATGATACGTGAGCTCCATCTTGAAACTCTGATCTTTTTTGTCCAATGAAATATGTATCTTCTCGTTTACACGTTGCCCCCTATGAATTTGTTTCAAGAAAGGAATCGCTCAAGTCAGAAATCTCGATTTTTGATGTAGTTGTAGTAAGTTTGCTTTTCTTGTCGAGATTGGGTCGGTGTGTCGTGTACCAACAATACAAGACTAAAAAGAATATATAGCATTACAAGTGAGATACTCAAGATAAAAGAATCTCGAGAAAGAATCTATGAAGAACCATAACGTCAAATCACGAATAAAAAATGGTGATTTGCGAACGAATGCTCGGTTAGGCTACCTTGAATAGTGTGAGTCGCATGCATTGGAATTCGATCGAAAACCTAGTCAACGCCCACTCAACCCGCCTCATTGTGAGATGTGAGAAGCCACGAGCAACCAATTGCATTAGCAAAATCAAAATCGAGCCACAAGTCATTGAAAATTTGTTCTAATACTAAGAAGCGTTCTACACAAGAAGAGCTCGACAAGGTACAGGTTGAAGGGTATAAATCGTGCGTCAAACGTCACCCGAGTATCATGTGATGATTATCAACATAGATTTTTTTTTTAATAAATTCTAATTATGTTAATAAACTTATTGCAGGTTGAATTAGAAACGATGTCACTTTTGAGCTGTCATCTTATACTAAAACAATGACAAATATGATCTTATGTATATGATAACATCAGATACGATGTCGGTTTTGAAGTAACTTCATAAATAAAATTCATTTCTTTCAAACACAATTTTTAACCGCTATTTTCTTCAACTTTTCAGTTAGTGGGTTCAAAGCGTTTCAGTCGAGTCAACCCGACTAACCCAAATATAGAGTTTATAACATAACCCTACTTTAAAATTTTTATAAAAATTAAAAATATTTAACGTTTGCAACAAATTTCAGTAATGCAGTGTGACTCGTGAATACCTCATATTTGAATTGCATGAATTTTTAGGTAATAATATATATATAACGGATAATTAATTATTTTTAAATAATTAAAAAATAAATAACCCGACAAACCAAATCAACCCGAAAAGTAGAAGGTTGGGTTGGGTTGTGAACTAATACGGGACATTCGGGTCATCAACTCAGCCAACTTAAAACGTCGAGTCGTTTCAAAAAATATCTTTTTAACCTGATTGATTCTATTGAATATAAAATATAAAATTTATATTTAATAGATTAATTAAGTTTTAAAATTTTTGAATTTATAAATAAATTATAAACACAAAATTAAATAATAATAATAAATCATCGAATATATTTATTTTATAAAATAAAAAAAAATAAAAAAAAAATGAAAGAAAAGCGAAAGAAGGGGAAGTTAGTTATAGGCGGAAGGGGGAAGAAGGAAGAGGAAAAAATAAAGAATTAACAAAACTGCGAATTCTCTCCCAATTCCATTCATTTTCAGTTGAGATTACGGTGGTGCTGGCGGCGGCACGCGGTGGCGGTGGGCGTCGTTTTGTCATTGTTCTCCAACTCCGACGATCACCATTCGTAAACAAGAACAACAACAATTACAATAATGGCGTACAGGAGGAGACAAGGAATTACGAGGGCTTCTACTTTCAAAGAGGAGATTCATTATCCTTCCGATGACATTGATCACATTTCCATCTCTTCTTCCTCTTCCGCCTCTTCTTCTCTTGCCGCTCAGGCGATCCGAGCTTCTGCTGCTGCTCGTGATCCTTCGCATTCCTCTGTCTATGGCAGTACCTCCACTTTTTCCCCTGGCCATTTACGATCCAAGGTGCTCTGCACGTTATTATTGTTATTGTTATTTAACTCTGCAATGTTGAATCGATCACTTTTAAGTTCCTATTGATTGACTTGACGATGTGGATTACAAATGATGAATTCCGTGAAATCTCACATTTGATTGTGTTTGTTGCTTTCTCTCCGTTGTTGCGTTAAGTTATTGCAGATCAATATTATTTTTCGAGTACCGAATTCTTCCGAGGAGGTGATTCATCAAATTATTGGTTTCATTTCTCAGAGCATGTGATTTTGCGTGAACTCCTCTGGTTTTTGGCAAATCTTGTGAATTCTAAACGTCAAATTTAATTTCATCGGGATTTTTTCTTGTCTATATGTTTAACTGCCCAACCAATTGGAAGAATCATGGCATTTCTTTGTGGTTCATTGCCGTGTTTGAACTCTACTGCAATTTCTGTTGTTTTTTTTGGTCATTCGAAAACGCTTTTGCAGCTGCTGCCATATAACATCCTTTTTCTGAATTTATCCATTGAATTCCAGAGTTTTGCTGGAGAGAAATTGACTTTCAAAAGTGAGAAATCAGGGTTCTGGGGCGTACTAGCTCGGAAAGCTAAGGCCATCCTCGAAGAAGATGACATACCCATAGAAGAAGAAACAAGTAGGTTCCACCCCATTGATAGCTCAACCCATTGTCAGGTGAGCACCAACTATTTGGCTTCGATATATTGAATTGATACAGGCACAAATAGTTGTGACTATGATTAATATACCTAAGGGGAGCTAGAGATTTTTATGTTACATTTTAATTTTATGCATGTGTCGTCTCTCAAATTTGAAACAGTTGCTTCTTTTTCATTCCTTCCATATTTTTCTATGTCACATAACTCAAAAGGTAAGGTAAAATTTATGGTCCCCAAAACCAAAAGAAAAAGCCATGAATGTCACTTTCTAGTTTATTTTTACTTTGATACATGATAAACCATGCTAAAATTTGTGCAACTTCCACCTGCTTGACTTACATGGAATCTCTTCGATTATCGATATAGCTTTCACAACACACACTTTGTATAACTGTCGAGCCAACGTTTTTGTGCAAATCTATGGAACTACTAACATCATATCATCAAACATACCGTAGGGATGATTCTATCTTTCTTTTAAAGAAGTTATCATCTCCTTGAATGAGAGAGACAATGTCAGCATCTAACCTAGAGCCATTTGACAAACCTACTCTATCAAGACAATTCTTTTCATGTTTCTAGATTGATATGCATTCCCAACAACCTTTCTTTTGCACGAAGTCTTTCTTCTTATTTTTCTAGTTGTTAATTATCAGTGTTGAATAGATTTTTTGTGTTCGTAAGGTAGAAGTGACAAGATAAGTGGGAGTGCCTTATTCTCATCCTTTATCTTCACTTCAATCACCTCTAGCTTAGAGATGATGTCATATAGTCTCTAATTCAGTTCCTCACAATCTTCCTCATTTATGTTGGACTTCTTAGAACCTCTATTCACCACTAACATTTACTAGTTCCTCTCATTCTTCTTCACTCATGTTGGACTCCTTAGAACCTCTATTAGAGCCACTACTGACTTCACTAAATCACCATCACCGCTTATCTTTTCAGAAGCACCACCGCTTGATATTTCCATCAAAGTTTTGTGTAATCTAGATTGCATTAACACGTCTTTAATTTGTACTTGCTACAAGTCGAAGTTCATTCTTCCATCAAATTTATATGTCAATCTTCATTGGACTTATAAAGCTTGTTGAAATTCCATGCACATATGCTAGGGTCCATCACTTTCTTGTAGCTTTCTACGTAGGAATACTACTCTTCTAATATATTTTATTAAAAATCCAACATGTATTAGAATGTCCTTCCACCTAAAATGTCATGCTATATTTTCAAAAAGGAAGGATTAAAATAAAACTCTTTGCAGTTTGTAACCTTCTCGTACCAACATAGAGATTTACCTTGTATGCAATTCAATTGTTCTTAGTGCTTTATTTTTCTGATTTTCATACTCTGCTCGAGAAATGGTTTCAGGAGCCATGTCAGTCTACTGATTGCAACTCAAAGAAATCGGACAATCCTGCAATCACAACTTCGCTTAATCAACGTGGGGA